GTGGGAGGGTGTTTGTGGTCCTGCTCTCTATTCTGGGCGAGTAAGACCATTCCTGGAGTGATGTGCTGAGTTCTGAATACCCCATTTTAAAAGACATATTGACTTATCAGTATGTGCCCAGAAAACAGCGACCATAATGTGCCCAGAAAACAGCAACCATAATATTAAGAGACTTCAAACTACCATTTGAAAAATGAGTGGTTTACTGAATGTAAGGCTTGATAGCGGTGCAAAGGGATGTTGTGTAGAAGACATATAAGTTTTTTTCCTGTGTAATTTCAGACAGCAGATATAAGACTAATGAGCAGAAAATTGGAGAAGGTTAATTTTAATTCAGAAAGCATTGATTCAGTAACCACACATAAATTTTTTTTTTCTTTGCTGTGCACAATACAAATTAAACAGTGGAAGTATTTGACTTTGAGAAGCTTTCAACAGAGGCAGGACCTCATCAGATTTTTGGTGGAGATGGTGAATATAAATGTATGAAGTTATACTTGTCCTTACATTTAGGAATGCCCATCCTGCTTGTTTTCTGGGTGTGTGCATTTGCATATACTTGTGTGCACACACATACATATACACTCAAGATAGTAGATTTTGAGAGAGTAAATGTTGAGTTTAGCTGCTACTAACTAGCGATACTTACACTACTATGATTAAGACATGTATTGCCTACATATAACCTTTGGTGGCTGGTTTTCATTTCCTTGAGATGACCCATTAGAAAAAATAATAATAGGGTCTCATTCATTTTATTATTAAGAATGTTTTGAATTAGCCTTATCATTAACATTAATGTGATAATATATCCCTGTGTGTTAGCTGTATTAAGGATCCAACAAATGTAAAGATCTCAAAAAGTTTGCAATTTTAAACCCTATGCATTACATTTTTTTTTAACCTGACAATTTATTTCTTAGAATGAAGTCACAAAATATAGTAGGAAAAAAATTCTTGGAATGAAAGGACTCAGGTTGGATAAGATATGTGAAAAAAATAGGTGTATTTTTTATTTCCTGAAATATTTAATTGACTGCCAACAATTTGAGAACAATATAAAAATCAATTTCTGAAGATTATGGATGAATAAAGCAGGATTCTAGTCAGAAATGTATAGGTTGCATTAAATGATAAACAAAATCAAAATCAGATTTACTTTTCACTGCATGGTATATTGGTTTTTGTGCTGTAATTCTGACATTTCACCTCAGATATTTCTTCCAGCTATTTCATTCAGCATTCGATTTAATTTTGTTTTAATGAGTATGAATTAATTAGTGGAAAAATACTTACATATTTCCAAGGGTACACTAAATTCATACAAAAGGTTATGTTTCTGGAAAACATGCCCTAAGTGAAATGATACATTAAATTTTATTCTTTAATATAGAAATAATGTTATAACAGGATCTCAGACTTTTGAATCAAAGGCTGAATGCCTAACTCTTCAAAGAAATAGTCACCCCAACATAGGATATAACTTTCTATTTTGTGGGTCTAATTCTAATTATTTGCAAAGTTTTTGTTTGCTTGCTTATTCTATTTTTATTTGCTTGGTCTCATTGGTACTAAGTTTGCAAACGATAGCCCTAGGAAATGTGATTCCTTACCAAATGTCCTTCAGATAACCCGTATTTCCTGTATAATAAGAAAGACATTGATTCCAAGGTCAAAAAAAAATCAGGAAAACTAATAATTCCTATTTTATGCCTATCTATATTTATTGCTGCAGTGAAAAAAGGGCGTAAAATGAAATTCTTTGACCAGTTTTTCAGAAGGCCACTAACTGGACATAAACCTCACCTAAGTGTTTTCCCAAAAGCTTCTCAAAGAGGTTATTTTGAATTCTGGAAGGGGTGTTTTTGGTTGTTCTGTGGGGTTGAATACATGCTATGTATTATAGCAATAACATAGGCAGCAATACTATCATCAGCAACAATAGACTCTGCCCTGCTTTATATTACACGTGTTTATTCATTTGTCTTTCTGTGGTTTGAATTTGTAACTGGAAAGAGACATAAGTTCTTTTATGGAAAAACCTATAATAGAAAGTATGTGCCTCAGAAAGAAATTTTGAACGTTATGGTTGCTAAGGAAATCATTGACTGTAATTTTCTTTTAATATTTTAATTTTCTTTTAATATTTTAACTAAAATATTGATTGTAAGCCAAAGGAGAAACATTGTATTTCTTCCTTGGGCTGAAATTGGGAGGAAGGGGAGACAGCAGGAGTTCAGAAAAAGCAATGAATGCATACCCTTCCAGTAATTTCAGGCAGGTATTTATTTTATAAATAGAATTAAATTTGACCCCAACTGCCTGCAGCACCTAGAGCTTTGAACGTGGGCTTCAGAATGAGCATAAAGGAAAGCTCATTCTGTTGACATAAATTAGGTTTTAGATAAAATCCTGACAAAAACATTATTACCCCATTTATTTTATAAATAGAATTAAATTTGACCCCAACTGCCTGCAGCACCTAGAGCTTTGAACTTGGGCTTCAGAATGAGCATAAAGGAAAGCTCATTCTGTTGACATAAATTAGGTTTTAGATAAAATCCTGACAAAAACATTATTACCCCTAATTTCTTAAAATTTTGCTCCTTAGGACTATTTTATTCTTTAATTTTTAGACTGATTAGTAAATCTCTCCTTTTTTGAGATATAGACAAAAACAAAACAATGACAAATTATTTTAAATGACTACATGTTTCTAAGTAGGGCATGTCTTGTACCTTCAAGAAAAGAGTGAGAAGAAAATAAATAAATTTATGAATACCAAAGTTACAAACTTAAGCTTTAGAACTGTCAACAATATTTCAAAAACTTCCACATGTTGATGTGTCTTGTGAGGCTGACTCATTTCCTGTGAGATAATCAGTGATGTCCATTGGATTATCTTGGAGTCTAGAGTTGTGTTTACAAAACAAATTCCCAGTCAGGAAAGAGCAGAGACCAATTACCACTGGCCATAAGAAAACACAATATTTTAATTACAACAATCATAAACCAGTGTCCATTAAAGACACATTCTCAATATCACAGCTTTGGAGACTTCTCTTACCTAATTAACAGTGTGTATCTGGGTGTGACCCAAACCTGACATATGGCAGAGATAGGACTTTGAGTGCCAGAACTCAGAGCACATGGTACATAACAGTGGGCTGTGAGCAAACAAGAAGGGAAGGTACTGTCATTTCCTTTTTTTCCAAAAACGTAATTTTGGCAGTGAATACCATATCAGTGTACTGTACTGGATTACATGCCATATCTTGTTATCATGTGTAACTTGTAATGTGATATAAAACATTATATTGGGTCAACTGATGAAAATAATCTGCTCCTGATGGACAAGTGGACATATTTCTGTGATGAGTAACAGAAGCTCTATTTCCATAGAATGTTCCCTGGCGTCAACTATTTAATGTGTTTTTACTGTCACTTTATCAAATGAAATTTGAAGTTTGTAATAGACTTTCATAATGCCTGAGGTCAAGAACTGTAGCAATTTTTAATAATAGAAATGTATTTATTATATAAGTACATTATTGTATTATTTTATTCTATTGTATCAATACATTTTATTGTATAAATAAGTACAGTATTTTATTGATGCTTTAGCTCTTAATTACACTTAGCAACAATGTTTTGCCTTCAGTGTTTAGCATATACTGTGATGACAGCAGTTATATTGTAGAATACTCGGATAATTTAATCTAATCTAAGAAAAACCTTAGTCTTTAAAATAATATGTGTGGATGAATATAGCAGTACACCTCTGATAAGAGCCACTAAAACTTTACAGAATGTTTTAAGTAATGAAATAATAAAGATCTCATTAGATTTAGACAGAATATATTACTGGTGTTTTAAAGTTTGAAGATATGATTTTTTTCTTCATGTATTTGGATTCTGTTTAAAGATTTCTAAGAAATTATATCTAACTGCATTGTAGGATATGCTTAAAAACTGTTATAAATTAAGTATGACTATTTGCTAGAAATAAAGCCGGTAAATAGAATTGTTAGTTTATTTTGAGCTGTCTGAACCTGGGAACTCAGGAGCCAAAGTAAATTCCTATAAGTAGCTAAATTCCTAAGGCTCCATTAAGAACGTGCACATCCTCCCAGGAGTATTTCATTCTAGCTGGTGTGGTGTTTACAAACCAGACCTGTCAAAGAGATGACCCATGAATTCCAGTAATGGAAACTGATAGGCATCTGCTGAAAATACTTTTAAACCCAAGACAGGAACCACATGAATGGAAAGAACTAAAAATTCTTCCAAGTAATTGTTTCATGTAAAATGGCATTTGGTATGTCCTCAAAATTGATCTGAAGGCAATCAGCAGATATGAGTAAGAAAGTAAACATACTTGTATATATTTGTCTATGATAAATATGTGTAAAATTCATGTTTTATACAAGAAGTCATTTGTAAGTCATAATTAAATCTTTTCCCAGAGACAGTGTAGGGAGGCAGCTAGGTGCACAGATCTGAAGTGTGTGTTTGAATTCCGGTTTTACCACCTATTTATTGTGTAATCGTTTGTAAAATGATCACGGTAATGGTATCTACCTGATAGGTTTGTTGTGAGAACAGTGCCTGGACCATAGAAAGCAGTGTGTCAGATTTTAATATTATGCCCAGAGATTTGAAAGAAAGAAAGTGAAATAAGGGATACTAAATAGATGTGGAAAACCATAGGCTGTCAAGTCAGTGAGACCTTGATTCAAATTTCAGGTAATGCCATTAGTAGTTGAGTGACTTGAGCATGTTATTGAACCTCTTAGAGCTTCCATTTTCTTATTTTAAAAATTGATGTGATAATCCTGGAGCTGTGAGATGAGGGATAGATGGAAAGCACCTACGCATCATAGATATTCAGTATTAGGTGACCTTTCCCCACATAGTAGAGCTAGTTGTCAAAGACTACAAAAACTGTCTGTTCCCTTGTTTTCATGACTAACAAAATGTATTCTGTGTACTTCTTTTAGGGTGAAAATGGTTTACAGGGTGCTCCAGGCTTACCTGGCCAAAAGGTAAAGAGTTTTTGAATGTTTCATATGAGTTAAGAATTTTAATTAACATCTCGAAAATTGAATTTGCACATAATAAAGATTTAGAAAATGAGTTTGATAAAACTGAATTCCCTCAAAGACTCTTAGAAAGCTACTTACTGGTCTTCCCAAGAGGACCCATAGGAGCAGTCCTCTCTTAAAGAGCTCTAGAAGAGCGTTTTATCAAGGGGGTTGGCAACATGCTTCTCCAAAGGACTGGACAACAGTGCTTTCTGGGGCCGTGGGAGAGCTGTTCTGGAAATGCTTTTGCTGTTGTTCGTCAGAGTCTAAAATGTAGAACAGAACAATTTTTAGTGCCTTTGACTGGATATAGTTACTTCCTGCTTATCTTTCTTGTATATCCCAGATTGAGGTAAGCATAATGGTTTCAATGACATAAAATATTTAACATTAAAAATACACTATCAACAACTAATCTCAGAAAATGTATTTCTTTCAGAATGACAAATTCATAATAATAAGGAGTTTTTGCATTGGCTATGCTGCTTCTCTCTGTGCCTAGTTATCTTTCTCTTCACCAAGGTGAACGTCCTTTGTATGTCTTTACTGTACAAGGGCTGCTTTGTCCTTCTGGGAAGGAGCATGATTATGTGACCAACATTATTGGAAACACAGAGACAGGTCTATTCCAGTTTCCTGGAGGGATGGGGAGCCACTTCAGGTGGGGCCAGCTGTCACGACACCACCCAGATAATCCCACCACAGAGAGAGCATTAATGATGCAATATTAGATACCCGCCCAAACCAAGCATATCATTTCTAAGCTCTGGAGAAGTTTTACATCTTTTACCAACAAGATTTCAGAAGTTATACCACAGAGAGAGCATTAATGATGCAATATTAGATACCCGCCCAAACCAAGCATATCATTTCAAACTCTGGAGAAGTTTTACATCTTTTACCAACAAGATTTCAGAAGTTACTGTGCCTCTAGGTTTTTCTCTATAGCTGAAAATATCATTTGATATGCACTTATTTATAGTTACAGCTTTTGGAAAAAAAATTTTCCTTTACTTGGCCTGATAAAAATAATAAGATTGAACTGGCAGCAATGAAATGGCAACATCTGAATTTCTTCACAGCAATTCTAGACAAAACCCATTGATACAGCATGTGCTGCATCTGCGAGTCGAGTTGCAAGCCAGGGGATGTGCAGATTTATCTGCTAGAAAATAGTTTTGGACTTTCCAGCAGCTGTTTGTGGTGGCTGTGTCATGCTCACATGGTGGCTGATGGACTGGAGGCATTTAGCAGCTTCAACATCAGCTTGAATTAACACATCAAGTTAAAATCTATAATTTAGGGAAAATAGTAGAAAAAAAGGTAGACCATACATTCAGTGGCAAAAACACCTTAAAAAACTAAACTATTTTCTTTCCTGGTAACTTTTTTGAGAGTAGATAAGGCAAAAATAAATATTTAATTGTGTGTGTGTGTATTTGATTATGTATGTGTTTATATACATGTATAATACACTCACAAACTATATATGTAAATATATATGTCAGAAAAAGCTGATATATTCCTTTTCATATAATTAATATGAATTTTAATTATACAAAGTGTCACTTTGTTGAGGTATTAACAGAAGAAACCAGAGATAAGAAACACTTCATCCCTTGTCTCTGTGCACTCAGAAAATGCTTGCTGAATGCTGCTTCTGCTCAAGGCTCTACATGGGTGGAGGCGTGCACATAACCCGTCCGCAGTACTCACTTGCTCACTATGTTGTTATGAGCACCTGCCATGTAAGAGGCACTCAATGAACATCAGTACTCCAAATATCCGTGCAGAATGAAGTGGGAAAATAAGATTGTCAGATCAAAGAGGGTTTGGTTGAAGAAAAGCAGACTTGCACCTTTTAAAATAGACATGGTGGTTGAGAGCCAGCAGCCCCGCAGCTACCAGTCATCATTCTGTCACTGGGAGGCAGGAGATCAGGTCAGTGACAAGCCCGATGGTGGAGTCTGATCCAGAGCCAGAACTCCAGGGTTCAAATCTGAGTGTTTCCTAGAAGTCAGCTTTCTAAGAAGGCTGTTTCTACTGGATCTAGAGAGATAAATAGTAATAATAACAAATATGTCTAACAGTCTGTGCCAGGCACTGTGCTGATGCATTCAATTCTCAAAACAAATCAGGGAGGAAGGTACTATTATCATACTTACTTTACACATGGGAAAATTCAGGCTTATGAAGATTAAATTGCTTTGGGAGTAGTGAAGCTGTAGCTTATACCCTAGAAAATTGTTCCTTTAGTATTTAGGTATATTTAAAGCTTATGTAACCTACTAGCAGTTTAGAGTTTACATATTAGAAATGGTTATTTGTAATTATTGGTTTTTACTGTTAGAAACATTATCATCATTATTTTTAAAATTCTATGTGGTATGAGTATTGTTCCTGTTGCTATACACATCATATTCCTCTTCTCCAGGGAGAGCATGGTTTTGAAGGCAGCAAAGGAGAAATTGGTGAAAAGGTAAATATCTCTCTTTATGTGTGTATATATAAAAATAGTGTTTTTGAAAATATTTTTAAATAGAATATCTAACTTGTTTTGTGCATTCTCTATAAGAGATCCAATAATTGTATAGATATAACTAAAAGTGTTTGCTTCAATTAAGGTAGACGTACTATATTGATGACTGTCAGAAATCTCTCTGAATTTATTTGGATGGTAGTTAGACACTCATAGTTAAATGTATTCATTGATATTTAAACGATTCAAACATTTATTAAGCATCATATTTTTATGTTGACATCATGATTCACAAAGTATCCAAGTCTTTAATGCTTTGTTTATATGTATGTGTGGTTTATCAGCGGAATATTTTCCTGAAGGAATAAATTAGAACTAATTATAATAATCAAAGTCCCACAGAAAAGAGATCTCCTACTAAAATTAGAATAATTTCAAAGAGTTCAATAAAAATCTGAGCAAGGTATAAGAAAACTACAAGGATTGTGCAGTATCGCAGGTCAGGTGACAGTGGACTCCTCAAACCCCACATGATTACCAAACCCAGAGGCACAGAAAACTGTGGAGAAAACTGCAGATAGGAGCTAAGGAAAACTGTTAACCCAAGAGAAGCACATAAACGGGGAGGCAGGGCAATAAATACTTCCAGCCCTCAGGTCTCCTGCTGGTGACTCCCACTGACCAAACCAAGCTGAGAGCCAGTGAGGTGGATTAAGTCCATAGAGATCAGCTTCACAGGGCCCAGAGCCAGGTGGAAAGGGGGCACAGTGGCTCTTGAGGGGCCGGCTCACTAACAGAAGTGCTGCCATCTCAACTCACCTCCTCACAAAAGTAAATTCTGGATGGTTAATTTTACATTGTAAGAGAGTATTTTATTTTAATAAATAACTACCTAAGTCGTTTGATAGTTATTGCAAAATATTTAAGTGATCAAATTTACTTAAGCTACAAATTTATAGCTTTCTATTTAAAGTACAGAGAATAAAAGTGCCTGGTCATCTAAAATTTCCCTTCAGACAATCATTTGAATCCTTCTGCATTTCAAAAATCTAGTTTTGTTTTTAAATAAAAAAAAAAGAATACCATTCCTTTGTTTCATAACTCTTGTATAGGGCCGGCCCAGTGGCGCACTGGAGAGTGCGCCACTTGGGAGCGTGGCGGCGCTCCCGCCGAGGGTTCAGATCCCATGTGGAGATCGGTTCCCGCTCACTGGCTGAGCTC